TTGGGCTTGGGGGGTTTAGGGTTTAGGGGTTAGGGTTTAGCGGGGTTTGGGCTTGGCGTCCAGGGTTTCGTGTTTAGGTTTAAGAGCTTAAGCTACTAGGGGTTCAGAAGGGGACGCCGTGGACAGCGTCCTCCTCCCTAGGATTTAGGTTTTAGGGTTCTTAGGCTAGGGTTAAAGTGTTCAAAGTGTTCAGGGCTGAGCGTGCAGAATGAGTTTATCACCTCGTCGTCAGTCACTGCAGGTGTGAGTATCACCTGTAGCACACAAAAACACTAGATGACCGGGGTCATAGATCATGCTTGCCATACAGATGTAAACTGTAAACTCCTCTTCTACTCGGAAGAACCCGAACCTTTTTTGCCTGCGTAGAAGTGCTCGGCGGTGTGCCGACACAGGGAGTTGGATGCTGCACTGGATAGAAAGGGCGCGATAATAAGCAGGATCTTTGTAATTCGTCGACGTTACCTTATGAGTAGTTCTCTAAATTAGGGTGCCTGTTAGGTCCTTTCTAGAAGGGTGCCGTACTAATTGGGGACCTAAAAAGGGACCCTCATTTAGGGAACTACCCTTATAAGTTTTTGGGATGACTACTATAGATCATCCTGAAAGGTCGTCCTGTAGGATTCCTTGACAACTAGGCGAGTAGCGGATTCGGACGCATTCAAAGCCGTTCAGCTACTGTTGGTGGGACCCAGTCCTGCATGATAAGTCATAAACATGAACATGATTGCTAGAAGAAGGAACAGGACCACATGCACCCGAATTCCACAGTTTAGGGTCATATACTTACAGGCATGCAGCGGCTTTGCCGGAAAACATTGAAACAGTTCGACCTTACCATGCTACCAGGCGTCATACCGACCCTCATCGCAGCAAGAGTTGCAAGAAAAGCCGCAAAAACACCAATCGTGGCTGCAGCTGGAGGAACAGCAAGAATCCACACATGCTGGTAGCACATCACATTGGTCACCAGTCAGCTTTTCGCAGTTACAGCAAACCAGAAATCACGAGAATAGCGAGGTATACGTGTGTCTACATATGAATGCAATGTCATGTTATGTTAAGGTTGATGTTGTTGTTAGTGCTACTAGTAGTGTGTCAGTGTTTCTATTAGTGTTAACGTTCATGTTAATGTAATGTGCGTGCGAGCGTGTATATGCTAATGCTTGCAGCCATGCGGCAGGGAGGGAGGTAGGTCCGAGGTAGGTGTGACTAGATAGGTTCGTGGGTCGAAATTGCACGTTGTATGAGCTCACTGGGCGTCCCTGGGACTTGTGCATGCCTCAACTTTTCTTGATCTCAGCCTAGCAGAACATCACGCCGTCCTCTTTCTCGCACTCCTTTCCGGCTGCCTGGCTGACGATTTCATGCTAAGGCCTAAACCCTAAACCCTAAACCCTGAACCCTAAACCTAAACCCTATAAGCC